TTTTTTGTATGGTATATACCTTTTCCTATTCCATTCTCCTAATGGTGTCTTGATAATTCTTAATTTTAATGATGCCTAATATATCAGTCATTTCCTTGTTAGTCTGTTAGCCTGAATTCCCCAGAAAACAGAGCATGATATTATTATGAGGACATCCAGAGAGCAGGTATGAGGAACAAGAAGGGTGAAGCAGGGCAGAAAAATGAGAATGTTCCATTGACTTGCACACAATTAAGTTAAACTGTTCAATCTGGGAGCTTCTCCTCAATCACAGAAGTGCATCTCAAGACTACACTAGAAGTGGGACAGGAGAAGAAATGAGGAAAAATGATTTCATGGCTCTTGTTTCTCACTGATTCAAATTCCATCCCCCAGGGAATTACCTCCCTTACACTACCGGGTTACACGTATGAGTTTACACCTTAAAAAACCAATAGGGGCTGGAGCTGTGGTGAAGCAGGTAAAGCCGCCGCCTGCAGTGCTGGCATCCCATATGAGCACAGGTTCGAGTCCTGGCTGCTCCACTTCTGATCCAGCTCTCTGCTATGCCCTGGGAAAGCAGTAGAAGATGGCCCAAGTCCTTGGGCCCCTGCATCTGCATTGGAGACCCAGAAGAAGCTCCTGGCTCCTGGCTTCGGATCAGCACAGCTTCAGCTGTTGCCATCAATTGGGGAGTGAACCTCCTCTCTCTGTAAATCTGACTTTCAAATAAATGAATAAATCTTTAAAAAAAGAGCAATAAAATTCTTTACTGTCACTTCGGTGAGGGATAGGGACTAAAAAGATGCATCAATAGAGTTGATCATGTTTTCTAATTGGTTATCATTGGTATATAAGAATATTCATAATAACAGTGTATTTGCCTATCAGTGTCTCAACCAGGGCAGAGGAGGGCTGGGGCTCAGTTCTTGTCTGAAGACACAATGTTTTTATCTGCCCACTCACTTGGCACATAGGTACCCATAAAGCTATAGCCCCAAGCAGAAATGGGTAGTGGTTCTCTCCACTTGTACACAAGGACCTGAGCATCCTTGGTTTCAATCTAAAAACATGGCCCAGGTCCTCTATTCTCCTGAGAGGTGCTTATAGCTCCATTCCCTCAAAGAGGTCAAACCTCTATCATCACCCTTGCTTCTAGACGCATCTCAAAGTGCAGGTGGTCTGCATTTTATTTTTTAAAGATTTATTTATTTATTTGAGAGGCTGAGTTACAGAGAGAGAGAGAGGGAGAGACAGAGAGAGAGAGAGGGAGAGACACAGAGAGAGGTCTTCCATCTACCAGTTCACTCCCCAAATGGTCACAATGGCCAGAGGTGGGCCCATCTCAAGCCAGGAGCTTCCTCCAGGTCTCCCATGGGGGGTGCAGGGGCCCAAGCACTTGGGCCATCTTCTACTGTTTTCCTAGTCCCTCAGCAGGGATGCTGGATGGGAAGTGGAGCAGCCAGGACTCGAACAGGTGCTCATATGGGTTGCTGGCGCCGCAGGCAGAGGCTTAACTCACTATACCACAGCACCAGCCCCTGTACCTCACTTTAGAGAGGACTAGTCTACTTGAGCTACTGTAACATAATACCATACATGGCTTAATTAGCAGCCATTATTTCTCCTAGTTCTCGAGGCTGCAAAGACCAAGATCAAGGTACCAGCCATGAAGTTCCTGGTAACGGATCTCTTCCTGGCTCATAGGTTGCCGCCTCCTCACTATGTTCTCACATGACAAAGACAAGCTCTGGTGTCTCTTTCTCTTCTTATAAGAGCATTAATCCCACCATGAGGGCCCCATCCAACCCTAAACACCCCTAAAGGCCCCATCTCCAAATACCATAACATTCAGAATTAAAACTTCAACATAAGAATCTTCAGGGATACCATTCGCTTCTTTTTCTCTTTTCAGGTTTTACTTGTCATAGCTATATGTCTACTACAGGTATGTGTCTGTGTATGTGAGAGAGAAAGCCTTAATCCATGTCACCATTTTCATCAGATGTCTAATAAGAAATCTGTGAAGTGGTGACAGATAACAGTTGTGACAAGATGCTCATCAGATTCTTTCTATTGTCTTTGGAGACTCAGCAAAGACCTCTAAGGCAGAAAATAGCACAATCAATGCCAGGTACTTCTCTTCTCCATCTTCAAGGGAGGGAGTAAGAGATTATGAACTAGGGACCAGCGCTGTGGCATAGCGGGTAAAGCCGCTGCCTGCAGTGCTGACATCCCACATGGATGCCAGTTTGAGTCCTGGATGCTCCACTTCTGATTCAGCTTTCTGCTATGGCCTGGGAAAACAATAGAAGATGGCCCAAGTCCTTGGGCACTTGCACCCACGTGAGAGACCAGGAACAAGCTCCTGGCTCCTGGCTTCGGGTCAGTGCAGCTCTGGCCACTGTGTCCAACTGGGGAGTGAACCAGTGGATGGAAGACCTCTCTCTGTCTCTGCCTCTCCTTCTCTGTGTAACTCTGACTTTCAAACAAATAAATATTTAAAGAGATTATGAACTAGTCTGCCGCCATTACTAATCATCCACCTTCATTCTACATAGAAGAATGAGGGTTATGTTGAAGAGTTGCCTAAGGGGCCTGTATTTTCCCCAGAGAGTGAGAGCTCTTGGCCAAAAGTCAGGTGAGATCCAGTCCTCCACTAGGACCTGTCAGAATGCCTGGCTTGTCTCTCCTGGTTGGGAGGTCCACAGGGACTGATGCACGGGAGGGAAGTCCACAGGCAAGCCCAGCTGTGCTGGGGTGGCAAGTACAGCGGGTTGCATGCGGAGCCACCTGGACTCCCTCTGCCAGCAGGGCAATGATTCAGTTAATCAGTGAGCCCCAGAGTACCAAGAAGGCAACCAACTTGGAGTTACTCAAAAGGGATTCTGAGGGGGTGTTTGGCCTAGCAGTTAAGTCATCAGTTAAGACCCTCAGTCCCATGCTGAAGTACCTGGCTCCTGATTCCAGCTTCTTCCCTTCCCTGGGAGGCAGCAGTGGGGACTCCAGAACTAGGTTCCTGCTACCTGAATTGAGTTCCTAGATCCTGGCTTTGGTGTGGCCCATTGACGGCATTTGGGAAGTGAACTAGCGGATGGGACCTAGAGCACACACATACTCACTCGCTTTCTCTCTCTCTCTCTCTCACTTCTCTTGCCTTCCCTCATAGAATTTTTAAAAATATTTAAATTTAATTATCCCATGTTAGATGCCCAGACCCGGCGGCCTCCCCACACCTCCAGTGACTGCTGGATGGCATGTGCCTCCAGGATATCAACTCGAGGGAGGGGAATTACAGACAGACAGCTAGAGAAAAGACATTGCCTTGGTCCCAGCAAGAGAGTCCTCAAGACGCCCACAAAGTGCTAACATACGTGAATCTTCCATGTCCACAGGGAACCAGTTTTAGACGACAACAGCGACCTGCACCAACCAGGAAGTCTGGGCGCCTTCCCTCTAGTGCCCTCTCTCGCTTAGGCTGGGGGTGGGGTGGGGCACTAGCGGCCGGTCGGTCGGAGAGGAAGAGTAAACTCGGAGGGGAAAAGGCAGGGATGTGGAGCCGCCCTCCACGCCTCCCTTCCTTACAAGCAGGCTTCAAGTCTGAAGCTAGGGGAGGGGAGAACCTTCAGCTTGAATAACGTTTCCATTGTGACCCTGGACTAGACATTCTCGCAAATCCAGTAAGACTGCTTGTGCGACTGAAAGCTGCTTGAGAAGTGAAGGGATCTGTGAGAGCTTACACCAAAGACAGGACAGAAACCACCGAGAGGGCGGCTGGGAAGGGGAAGTAGGAGAGAATTCGGCTCACAGACCAGGAGGATCATAGACCATAGCTCCCTTGATAAAAATACGAACTCAGTATGGCAAAATCGAGGAGGAAAAGTTGACACAGAGTATAATGAACCCTGATTAAAATGTCTTCATTCCAAGTATCTATACACCCTAACTCACATTTTCTTCATATTTACTTAGATGCCATCAAAAGTATGGATAACCAAAACCCATATATAGGCTAATAAAGACAGAGCATATGTATACCTCTGGAAGACTTTTAGTATTTTTTCATTAAAATAATTTTTATGGGTTTTTAAATTGCATAAAGATCATATAAAGAGTGAAATACGCCAAGTGTAAAAAAAAATCAGCTAGTAAAACATTTTACCCAACTATGATGTAAGCATGTGCTACAACGTGTAAAATTGAAAATATTTTGAATTTTATGCAAGAACTAGACAATATAAATTTTATAATTAAATTTTCCTGTGTTCTGCCTTTGCTTTTATTAAATACCATTTTCTCGTTATTTCTAGTTGGTAGACAGAAACATTAGAGTCAACATTATTTTCATGCTCTGACCACAGTATTTCTTTTGTGTGTTGCCTTTCCGTTTTCTGGCTTTTGCATTTAGGATGCAGAGACCGGACACCTGTATCCAGAAACATTCCGGTCACAGGTCCGGGGAGGAGAGAGCATTTCTGAATCTCTCACGACAAGCTCCCAGGCCTGTCTATCCCCGCGTGGGCTCCAGAATGCGTGGTTGACAGATCTCTCGGAAAACCTACTGATGTCTGTTTCGGGTTCCGCCTCCCTCCAACCCGCGCTTTTCTTTTAATTTCAGGATACTGGACAGGAAACTGCGGGCGGTCGGCCGTTCCCGGGGGACCATGATTTCTGTGGGCTCCTTTGCCGAGCTGCATAATGGCCGCCACTCTGGGAGTCATTTAAGTCCTCCTCTCATGTAACCATTCACTTCCCTCTCACAAACGAACAGCCTTGAGGGGAAAGAGCGGAGACGCCCGTCCCGAAGACAGCGGCGTCCAGTGGCCTCGGGCATCCCGGGACGAACGGGCTCCTCTCCGGCGGAGCCCTTTCTTCCGCCCCGCCCACTGCGCGCGCGGCCCCGGGGTCACGTGGCCGCCGGGGGAGGGCTAGTGGGTGGTTCGGCGGCGGCCATCTTGCGGGGCTGGGGGCGGAGCGTGTGCAGCGCAGGGCGCGCGCTTCCCTTCTCCTCCCTCCCTCCTCTCCCCTCTCCTCCCCTCCCTTCCCCTCGCCCCGGCTCGCGCCAGCTCCTGCGCTCCGCCCCGCTTCTCCTGCCTCCTGTGGCCGCTCCCAGAGTAGAGGAGCTGGGAGGCCCTGAGGGCGGGAGGGGTGTGTCGGACGCGTGCTCGCGCCCTCAAACCGCCGGCTGCGGAGGCGCGCTTGGCCGGGCCCGAGGGCCGGCGCGGGCCGAGAGGAGGGTGCTGCCCTGGGGGCGGCGCGCGGCGGCCGTGGCGGCAGCGGCTGCAGCTGCGGCGGCGCGCTCGGGGCCCGCGTCCAGGGCGCCCGCGGGTCGGAGCTGCCGCCGTGGCCGCTGCTGCCGGAGCCATGTACCGCAGCGGCGCCCGCTCCTCAGTCTCCTCACACCGGCCTAAAGACGGCGGCGGCGGCGGCCCTCGCAGCAGCCGCAGCTCCGGCTCTTCCTCAGGCCCCGTCCGCCGCACTTCGCCGCCACCGCCCTCCTGCTCCTCCGCCTCCTCGTTGCGGACCCCGACTCGCCGGCCCCGCTCGCCCTCAGGGCCCCGCAGCCGCCGGGCCTCGCCATCTCCGCCGCGGGGTCGCCGCAGCTCCCCGTCCCCGCCCCGCGGCCGCCGGGCCTCGCCGTCCCCGCCGCGGGGTCGTCGCTGCTCCCCGTCCCCGCCGCGGGCCCGTCGCGGCTCCCCGTCCCCGCCGCGGAGCCGACGACTCTTCCCGCCGGGCTCGTCCGGCTTCCGAGGCAGCAGCCGAGGGGAGTCCCGCGCCGACTTCGCCCGGGACGGCCGCGGAGACCATCCAGGCGACAGCGGCAGCCGGGTAATCCCACCCTCGCCCGGGACTCCCTCCATCCCTAGCCCTTTCGGCCGGAGTTCCCGCTTCCAGCAACGCCCCGCGGCCTCCAGGCCGGGGTCTTGAATGGAAACCTCGCCTCGGCCCCCTGGGCTAGCCGGAGCCGGCAGGCTGCTGTCCGCCCGGGAGCGTCGTTTCCACTATAACGGACTGGGGACCGCCGGGTCGGGAGGGAGCGCTCCGAGCCTCAGGACTCGGGGTGAGGTGTGGAAAAGTTTGCCAGGACGGGGGCGCGGGGGTTGTTAGGGAGAGTTGACGTCTCAAGGTTCCGCGATGCGTGCCCCCGCTGGAGCTTATTAGCGGGAGCAGCTGCAGGTCCGGCTGGGTGGCCGAGCCGGGCCGGACGCCGGCGGTGTGAACGGTTAGCTGATCTAAAGCGGTGCCGCCTCTCCGGAATGAAGTGTGCATAACCACAGCCCTGGGGCTGGCCACCACCACTCGTTGAGCTAACCGCCAGGAGTTCGGCTTCACCCTGTACACTCTGGCCACCTTTGGAGGCCTGGGGCGGCCGAGGAACCCCCACACCCACCCCAGGGAGGCTTGCGTATCTTGGGACAAGTGGAGCCGTGTGTGCTTCAGCTCGCATCTGCCTCGATCCCGGAGCCCGTGATTTGCACCGTTAGGTTTCACTGCCCGAGCAGCGGCGCCTGAGATTAGGAAGTTGAGTTGAGGCATAAGGTCGACCTCTCACTACACGGCTCTAGCGGAACCTCTGGGCACGGTCTGGTGTTTTGAAAGTGGTTTTTGTTTTCAGTTCATCATTTTTTTTTCTTTTGACGTCAGTGACAAAGTTTCTCTTTTCTCCTGTGGCTCTAACATGTAACCAAGTTGAATTATCACGGTTAAGGTTGAGCGTGTCAGTCACTTAACTGCAGCGGAAGCAAGGAGAACAGAATATTTGTTTCCACAGTCTCCTTTTCTCCAGTGCACAAATTTGCTTCAGTCTTCTGTGTTTCAGCAAATGGCATCTTCCATTAAGTAAAAACAGTCATCATCTCCCTTCCCATATGTCATCTGTCAGATTAACCTTATCTGTCTAACCTGCTAGCTCTTCGTCCACATTGCACCCCCAAAGCAGTCCTGTTGTCTTCACTTAGGTCCTAAACCCTATTCCCTCTTGCCTGGATTGTTGCATTTGGCTCCTTTATAATTCACTCTTGCCACCCTCCAGTTTATTCTGTGTGCAGAAGTCTAAATAATTATTTAAGCTTTCATTTTATGTATTTCACAAATATTCTTGAGCATCCAGTGGGTTCTGTTCTTGGATGTCACAATACACCAAAGAACTAGTCAGACCAAAAACTTCTTGTAGAGTTTTTCCTTCTGGTGAAGAGAGTTAATAAGATGGAGGTGTTAGAAAGGCTATGATAAATGTGATTGAGTGAGAGAAAAGAATGGAGAAAGCAGTTAAAAATGTTTTTTTGAAGATCCATTATACAGACTCCACCATCACAGTTTTCTTAAGTCTTCCTCTTGGAGTCCCCCTCTTGGTTTGCTTAAAAAAAAAAAAAGTTTATTTATTTGAAAGGCAGAATTACAGAGAGAGATTTTCCATCTGGTAGTTTACTCCCTAAATGGCTGCAATGGCTGGGGTTGAGCCAGGCCCAAACCAGGACCCTGGAACTCCATCCTGGTCTTCCATGTGGAAGGCTGGGGCCCAGGCTCTTGGGCCATCTTCTGCTGCTTTCTCATGTGCATTAGTAGGGAGCTGGATCAGAAATGGAACAGCCAGTACTCTAACTGGCACTTGTTTGGGATACTGACATTATAGGTAGGGGCTTAACCTGATGTGCCACCGTGCTGGCCCTGGGAGTTAAAATTTTTGATAGGATAGCCAGGGAAGGCCTTCCAGGAAGGTGACCTTTGAAAACAGACATAGAGCCGGCGCCGTGGCTCAATAGGCTAATCCTCCACCTTGCGGCGCCGGCACACCGGGTTCTAGTCCCGGTTGGGGCGCCGGATTCTGTCCCGGTTGCCCCTCTTCCAGGCCAGCTCTCTGCTATGGCCAGGGAGTGCAGTGGAGGATGGCCCAGGTGCTTGGGCCCTGCACCCCATGGGAGACCAGGAAAAGCACCTGGCTCCTGGCTCCTGCCAGGATCAGCCCGGTGCGCCGGCTGCAGCGGCGGCCATTGGAGGGTGAACCAGCGGCAAAGGAAGAC